AAAAACCAAAATTACCTCTTCCCTAACCCAATAAATTGCGTTAGCTAGGGCGTCTTGAACGTGAAAGCCATTGTTACATCGTTATAATACCTCAAGTGAGAGAAATTGGAAAAATAATAAAACACTAACATTCAAAGATTTCATAACATTACATTGATTTCAGAAGAAGGCACTACTGAAAAAGGGATTACAGATGTGTTTTACCGATTGAAATAAAATTCGTAACCAAACACAATTATTTTGCAGTATTTCAGCTTTGGGTTAATTTAAAAAAAAAACACTTTTTGCTTGCACTTCGTTTGCATGATAAATGCATATTGTATAGTACTATTATTTTTTGTAAATGTTTAAAACATACTACATTTTAAAAGTTTTTTTAGCCCCGTCGAATGTATGTATTAAACTGTCGAAGTGTAATAAGTTGCATACTACTAACTCCTTTAACTTAAGAATCCACCAAGTAACATACTGAAAATCTTCAAAATCTGATAAAATGCAAACTTTATATCTTTCAAGCTACTAAAGGGACTTCGTTAAAACGTTTTAAAATCAATACATTACATGTGACTAACAGCCTTTAGCTTAAGATCTCCTAAGCTTCGGAACTTCAAAAATTACGTGATTACATGCTACAAACAACTCTAGCTTTATAACTTAGTAAGCATGCCTTATACACAAATCGAATAGCATCAAATAATTACAGAGTTCATTTGGAGGTACGTAGAAGAACACCGGATCCACTCCCACACTGTGGGCTGCCAGCGGCTCCCTCTACCCTGTGCGTTCGTAAGCGGTAAATGTCAGACAACACCACTTTGCTTAGAAGGACGCAGAGACCCCGAAAAAAGTGTTAGCGTACAATTGAGCTAGACTTACCTCAGGTCATACTTGGAAAAATCTAATGCCCATTGGACGTGCCAAACGCATCTCCCATGCTTGCCCACTGTTACATTTTATCGGGCCGCATGGGCGGTGCGTTCGGGTACCGGGACAGACGCTTTCGTTACGACCATCAGCTGCCCCAACTCTTAATTAGTCGTTCCAGATCTAACCGTTCGGAGACAGTTTTGGAGATGATCGCATCCACGGGGACCACGAGGCGGCGCGCCTGCCAGCTCCCGCCTGGAGCCGCATAGTTGGCTAGTGGTAGTGGGCAAGGGTGCCAAAACCCTGTCGGCCGAACCCTTTTGGCCGATCACTGCCAGGCATCAAATAATTACAGTACAAAACAAATGCCTTAGTGCTCAGAAAAAAGGTGGATGTAACAAAAAATTTTCGTAATTTTTTAATATTATCAATTTTTTACACTATAAGTTTCTTAAAGTTCTCTTATCGTTTTTATTTTTACCTAAGGGATTAGCAATTTTCAGAAAAAAATCTGTTTTTACCTACAACAAGAAAAATTGAGTATAAATTATTTTTGTTTTATCTAGAAAGCACATTTTTTGGGCTACGTAACTATAATTTTTATTTACACCAAGGGGTAAGCGATTATCATGCCCCACTTAACTGCGTAAGTTTTAACAAGATGTACCATTGCTTGTATAGAATTGGACATGTTGTTTTACATGAATTCTCAACCATCAAGCCATCGTTGGAAAACGCCTCTATGATAATAACATCTTATAGACAGTGTCTGAGTAAGTAAAAGTCGAGATCTAAGTTTAGATTACCCAAGTTACTAAGCTATCGGAGCACCAAAAATCGGCGCATGTCATTTTTTTTTTTTTTTTTTTTTGTACGCAATAGTAAAAATGAATCCACGAATTCCAAAACTTTACTCGTTATTAAAATTATATAAAAACAATTTCGTCAAGAGAATCAAAAATATGAATTTATCACATAACGCCATGTTACTTTTATTTGATGTCAAACATCTTTTTCCGAGTATACCAATCCACAAAGTACAATGTATGTCGATAATCTATTACGTAGAAATAAAATAAACGAATTTGTTAACCAAGAGATTTTATTAATATTAGAAACAGTTCTCAGTCATAACTATTTTTAATTTCAAAATAAATTTTATTCTGTTAAAGATGGTCTGATTAAAGGTGACCCAATTAGTCCATTACTTGCAGAAATATTTGTGAACGGCTTAAACAAAAAATAATGTCTTATTCACTCTCTAAATATTTATTGAAGTGAAAACTTCTTTAGGCACGTTGGGCGATTTTGGATGGAGAGAAACTCTTGGTTTCGCGTCAGATCGCTCTCATTTAAAAGCAAGGCGATCCCTGCAGAGAGTCGTGTGTGAGCGCGGGAGAATAATATAAAGGCGAGAGGGGCAGGAGGAGAGAAGGAGCCCACTCTGTATTGGCCGGTCGTAAAAAAGGAGAGAGTAGCTTGGCGGCACGGCGGAGTACGGTGAGGTATGGTAGTATGGGTACTATGGGTATCTATTAGTGCACATTTGAATTTCGAATTACACCGCATGTGTATGGGTTAATGGTGTAAGTAACTACCAAGTCAGGTACTCAGGTACCAAGCTACCGATACCGAGGTAACTTTTAACCATGTGTAACTACCTACTATATTAGTACATAGCTTTTTGCCATGTGTCAATGTGTATACTGTAAACTGTATACAGTTAATGTTACTACAGTATTACTGTATTAGTGTATAGTGTATATCCAATAGTATCGATTACCCATGCAAGTTCAACTGCGTATAATTGCACACCTACGCGACAATTTGTAGTGTATATACGTGACTAGTGGTCTTTATAAGCTGTATTACCGTACACATACGCGCACACATATATATTTGCAATTAACTGTTGTCACGTCGTCATTCTTCGTTATTAATTAAATTATACTTTATAATATNATTGCTATAAATAGCCAATACAAATAGAATCAAGTATGATCAACCCACTAAAAAATAAAAGAAGGAATGCATAAGCTATGAGTTCAAAAAGGTGCTTAATTATTTATAAAAAAAATCGAAATAAAATTTTCTTTTACGTAAGTATTAACAGTTTCTGCTGCAAAATTAATTTAATTATTTACTAGTTGCATGTCAAGGACTCCAAATAAATTTATTAAAAAATGATAATAAGCCTACATCGGACGTAAATTGTCTAAGTTCTTCAATGAATTTTTTCTCACTCCTCAGTATCTGTTGTTGTAAAATTTAGTACGAATATTTTCATGACAAATCGCATAATTTTCAGAATTTCCAGCTTAAGGAATACCTGTATTGTCGTATAATTAACTTTATAATTTATTACTCAAAATACATAGGTATAATGAAGAGATATGCATGTTTTCATATGTATTATCACAACCCACATAGTTATATAAATGCCATAACTTTAGATTACTTATTTCAAAAACAGTAAATTATTTGGATAGCTACTAATTCATTTCAGAACTTAAGTAAAAATATAATTCATAGTTTTAAGTTTTCATTCCTGTCGGAAGTCCCATGACTGTTTTGGCATAGATACGTAGACGATATTATTGTTTGTTGAACGGGTACACAGAGACCAATATTTTCTTAAATTTTCTTAATAGTTTACATAGCAACATACAATTTACATTAGAAATCGAAAATAATAACCAAATTAATTTCTTAGACCTTTTAATTATCAAAAATAATTGTCGAGTTTCTTTTACTATCCATCGTAAACTTTTGTACACAGATACCATCATTCACAATAAATCGTTACATCCATATTCACATAAAATGGCCACATTTTACAGTTTTGTGCATAGACTTTTAACGATACCTTAAGAGATTTTGACTATAAATTAAGCACTATTAAACAATTAGCATTTGACAATGGTTATAATCCACTCATCATAAATAACATACTCAATAAAGTAAGACTAAAAAAAGTTATAGACAATGTCTTCCTCTTGTCTGCAAAGGATGATGATCGTCGGTACCACATATTAACTTATACCGGTCCACATACTTATAAAATTGTTCAATTTTGGAACAATGTGATATTCATTTAGCGCTCAAGACAAATAAAAATTCTAAAAAAATAATAAAAAACAACAATGACAAAATCAATAAAGAAAAGAAATCAGGCGTTTACAAGAGATATTGTGGTACACCAGGTTGTGATAAATTGTATTTTGGCCAAACGGGTAGAATGTTTGAAAGACGAGACAAAAAACATAAAAGTGCTTTTAACAATAAGACTGGCAAATTAACGTATTTAAGTCATTTAATAGAATGTAAACATATTTTCAATAATCACTATGATATCTTACATATTTGCAATAAAAGTTTTGTAGAAGCAATGGAAATCAATAAGTTCAAAAATTCAGGCAGACTATTAAACGGCCAGTTAGATCTCAATAGTTCACCTTTACTAAATTCAAAATTTTAATGTTCCCACTATGTTAATATATATGTTAATATATGACGTATACTTATTTTTTATTATTATGTATTGGCTCTGCATTCGGTATGTATATTATATAGCAACGCAACGTAATTTAGTTCATTTGGAACTTCATAGCCATGATACATGATGTAAAAAATATAAGATTTTGTAGGGAAACATACTAAAAAAAATCAGACTGCCTAACTGATCGTTATTTAAAAAATAATTTTTGAAATATTTAAATCTAACATTTTTTACTATGGCAGAAATTTCGAAGTATGTAGCTAATCAAAGTTTAAGAGTAGCAAAAATACGACATTTCTAAAATTTTAGAATTTACGTATCTGAAACAGATGTATTCGACAATAAATAATAAATATAAGAAATACAATAAATACTTTAATGCAAGGAAAAAAATTATTTTCCTAACGTAAATCCACTATCTTAGATATGCTAGATAGCAGAAACTTCTCTTTGTGATAGTTTTAGTCATAAGAGTATGAAAAATCTTGTAGAATCTACTTGAAATTTTCGTTAGCAGTCTTTGGCCATTTAATTATTAAAAGTTTAATAGTACGTTAGTATTGCTTAAAGCAGTATTGTTGTAAATTAAATTTAGATGTTTATGCAATATGAAAAAAATTTTTTAAATACTAACCTTTTACATATTATGGTTCCTGAAATATTTGTCTCTTCAAATTTATGAAGTAATGAATCTTTTTCATGTTTTAATTTCCGTACATCTTCAAATATTTTTGTGACTTCAGTTATATAACGGTTTTTGTGACACAAAAGTTGCCTTTTCTTTTTTTGTAGATTCAATATGCGTTTACTTAGTATGTTCTTCAAATTTTTAGATCTTATTTGTTCATCCTATAAATATATTAGACACTTAATGCTTACTAATACATGAGTCATTGATAATAATATCTAAATAATAAATAATGAGATCAATCTGTAATAGAAGACAGAAAATTTTGAAATTCTTATAACAGCCATCAGTGCATAAAATTAAATTATGTAGCAAAACCCTTAAACCAAATTCGAGTTACGTTATCGTGAGAATGATTTTTTCCTAGAAAACGAAAAAGCATGTTTCTATTTAATCATTGTACTAATAACTAAGCATTTTTCTTTGTTGCTTTCTTTTAACCTGTAATAAGACATTGAACTTTGTACTGATAACTAAAATAAAGTTTTCGGTATCAGTATTTTATCAATTATCTATGTAAAATTTACTATTGAGTAACTGGGTATATTTTTCTTAGATTAATTTATTTTCTAGAATAAGACTTTTTTATCTTGCTCAGTGAGTCTTTTTCTGCTTTAAGAAAAAAAATAAAAATCAATTAGATGGTTAGTTAAAGTTAATTGCTATAAATAGCCAATACAAATAGAATCAAGTATGATCAACCCACTAAAAAATAAAAGAAGGAATGCATAAGCTATGAGTTCAAAAAGGTGCTTTTTTCTCGAATAGTATAGTTAAGTTTTTGTTTTGATTCTCCTTTGTACTTGGTAGAAAAATTTTGTCAAAAATACCTTACTTCTATCGAATATGATGACAGTGCAGCTTATATGTAGAGTTTTTAATAATATCAGAGTTAGCACAAAGCTTGACATAAGCAAAGGCACTGGTAGCATCCAAAGTAAACTGAGAAAACTTCGGTACAGCTGCATTACTGACAGTGGCATATTTATGTCATGGAGTAGCGCCATACGTGAGAAAACACGTAAACTAACGTATTGGTATGATTACTCTTCTACTTTGGAGTAATAGAGCACCCTATGTCATAAAGAGTATATACATATGTTGAGTTTCTACGCTCTTAATTAAATATAGTCTGCATTATCTTTTAATAAATAATAAAAGTACTTTAAAACAGTAATTGCTGAGTGCTTCCTTGTGACGTAATTTATTTAAAAAAAAAAAAAA